AATCCGTCCCATATCCGTCGTTGTCCATCGCAAATATCTAAAGCGACGGAATTTCCGTCGCAACTTCCGTCGGTAAATACAGTTTTCCTTGTAGTGAAATAAACCTGATTGTTGTACCCAAAAGAACTGATGTAAACCCTAGACCAAAAGAAAGATTAACAATGTTGGTCTAAAAAAAAAACAGGTTTCCAACCAAAATATACCAAAACAGATGGTATTGTTCACAATGCAACCGAGTTCTAATCCTTGTTTTGCTGAGCTACTCTTCTGGGAACTTGAAATGGCCTCGGATATTCCTAGTTTGCTGAGGTACTGGCTGATGGTATTGGAAGATGAGTCAAACCCCTTTTTCTTGGATGATTAACAGGTGTTGAGTGAATCGTTTGACTCGATTGTGTTGGAATGGAGGAACCTTCAACCGAAGTATTCACATTTTGGCTCCATTGAGTTGCAGATTTCTTTTTCGGAGGTTGACTCAAACTTGATTCGCCTTGTGGATACTAAACAACCAAAAACAATTTAATAAAAAATTAATATGTTATAGATGTTTAATCATTGTGAATATACCTTTCTTGGTCGATCCATTGGGCGTTTTGCACTATAAAATAAGACCTCTTCATTCTGGCATCCTTTAGCATTGTGCCCAGTTTGCTTGCACTTACTGCATGTCATGTGTCTGCCATGCCTTGTCATTTTTCCACTCTTCGACGGAGACTCTGTGGGATCCTTTCTCCGATGATACTTCCTCGATCGACCAGACACAACCCTTTTCTCAGGGACACCTACTGAAATTTTGTTTGATTTTTTCCACAAGTTTGGTCCGTTCATAGGAAAGATGTTGTTCTGATAGGTATATTTCCACATTGCAGTGGAAAAATACTCCGAGACATACCTATGAAACGAAATGTGAATGTTAATAGGTAGCTTTACTAAGCTAAATGACAGAATAAGGGTTTCAGATTCACGTACGCTGTTATATCGGCTTGTTGCTCATTGATGACACACAATGCACGCTGACATGGGATGCCATTCAAATCCCACTTCCGACATCCACAACGTTTCCCAGCAAGGTCTACAACATAATTCATACCATCCTCCAAGACCTCATATTGGCTCCGACTACTTGTAATCACAATGCAATATCGTGATTCCTCTCGAGATTTGCCCAACTCAGTCATAGCATGAGGACTGAATTGGCCAGCATACTTACTCACATATTTCGACCTATGTGCAATCCTTTGCATGGCCTGCCGACAAATGTCTTCAAGCATATCGACAATAGGTCGCAATCTAGCCTCACGTATTGTGTTGTTGAAACTTTCCGACATGTTGTTATTGATTTATGGACACTGTGATTCAGACCTGAAGAATGCACGCGCCCATTGTTCGGGCTCTTTGCACATCAAGAACTCATACGCCGATCTATTGTACTGCTTCAACCTCTCCAAGTGTTCTAAATACTCACCCTCATGAAAAACATTGGCTATACTCCAAAAAAGGTTCTTGTACTCACCATCATTGTAAACCTTTTTCCAGTTGGCATATATATGCTTCGAACACATGTGATGTTCTGCTTCAGGTAGAATATGATTAATGGCATTGATTATACCCTGCGCCAAAACAAAAGAAGATGATTTGTTAACCCGGAAAATGTTTGCTCACCTATAGTATTAACCAACAGAAGAAGATGGTGTGTACCTTTTGCTTGTCCGAAAGTATTGTCAAGTTGGGTCCATCTCCTAACGTTAAATCAGCTCTCAATTTCGTAATAAACCAAGACCATGTCTCAGTTGTCTCGCCCCGTACCACAGCCCACACGATTGGATAGATATGATTATTTGCATCTCTGCCTACAACAACTAGCAACTCACCTTTTATTTTCCACTTCAAAAAGCATCCATCCAAATCGATCACTGACCGACAATACATTTTCCAACTCTCACGCAGCACATCAAAACATATATAGAATCTATCAAAGAGTTGTTCGTTACCTGTGCTTGCAGCCACAGTTTTGATCTCCGTCGAAGAATTGAGATTAGAACGTTGAATTTCTGCCTCATAATCCCACAACTTTCCAAACTGGACTTTTTGCTCCTCTTTCACTATTTTCATGGCAATTTCTCGAGCCTTAAACCATTTAAACTTAGTAACTGTCATATTGAAACGCCTTCTACACTCATGTTGCATATCTTTTGCTGTAAAAGCTTTCTTCGTCTTTAAATCATTTGTAAAGATTTTCGCCATTCGCTTAATGGTAAATAGTCTTGCGTGTCCCGTTGGGTCGTGGTTGTGGGTGGGTGAATACGCCTTTATCATCAACTTGTTCAATGGTTTCTCAATTGAACAATATAATCTCCATGAACAACTCTCATGACTGCACACAGATTCAAACCTCCAACCTCAGATTTCGCCATTCTAATATTGTACCTTTCAGTCTTCACATACTCAAATAACCTATCCTTGAATTCTTCTCTTGTATTAAATATCTGCCCGAGATAAAGCAGAATAGGTTTGGATTTTTCAGGTTTTGTTCCTGTTCTTGGAGCTCTCTTTGATCCTGGTTGTGGGTTTCTTTTCTCAAAAGATTGCCACTCTTCATCTGTGTTCAGGGGTGTAGTTGGTAACACATCATCATCACCCGTATTCTCCTGATCACTGAAAGTCCAACCCTGATTCCCCATGTCTTCCTTTTTGGATACAAGGTTTACCAATTCTTCATCAAGTTCTTCACCATCTTCTTCTTCATCTGCACCAACATCAACATTCTCAGCTTCACCAACACCATCATTGACATCTGCAACATCATCATTCTCATCTCCACCATCCTCACCACTATCAACAGTAGTATCATTCTCATCGAGAATAACATTATCAGCAGTATCAACAACAACATTCTCATCTTCAGCTACCTTATCACCAACTGTCTCTTGATCTCTCTCTTCATCTGACAGACCTTCCTGTGATATTGGCAAAACACGCTCATCGATAACATGGACCACATATATATCTATTGTTCCCTCTTCTCTAGCTTCTCGGACCATTCTTCTTATTTCCATATCGCAATCTTGCCTAATAAGCCTAACATCATCAAATGGTTCACTAGGTAACTTGTACCAAAACCCATATATTGGTCCCCACATATCCTGAGATCAAACCACATCAAGCAACGTAAATCAAGACATAAAGTCTGGGTCCATCGGCATGTCCTTCAACACGATACCACCCATGTACTGCATAATATAATCCTTATCGTAATCTTTGCTCCCACCCATATGAAAATTTACCTTAATCATGTCGATTCCTTCGAACTACAGTCGACAGACGATCTTTCGAGGCAACAGGGGAGCGAACTCCACTGTACCACGAACAGAACTTTTCCCACCACGCGATCACGAACATAACATTCGACAGAGGAGATTTTGAAGGAAATCGCTCGGATTAGAGTTTAGGAAAGAGAAATTAGGGATTTTTAGGGTAGGTAAAAACTGTGTTTCGATTTTTTCCCTTTTATTTACCCTCTTTTCAAACCGGTTTATTAAATTTACAGAACCAGATTTTTTTAATTCAAAAACCGGTTTAAAAATTGGACTAAAATATGCTGATGTGGCAAAACAACATTTAAAATTGCTTACGTGGACAAGATTATCTCAGATTTCCGGTCCTAGGTGGATATCCGATGGCCTGAATTTTGGGTCAAACTGGTCAAGGGGTTATTACAGCAACAATTTGCAAGTTTAAGGTTTTAATCAGTTACATATATCAAGTTCAGGGTTTAAATGACAGTTTTTCAAATTGGGGATTTATTTGTATACTTTTTTGCAAGTTCAAGGTTTTTTTAGGGGTTTTACCCTTTTAAAAATAATATTGATATGATAGTGAAAAAATCGAGTTATCTTAATTTAAATCCATAATATAGCTAATTTTGAAGGAAAAAAATTATAAATCATAATAATTATACATTTATATTTTTCTGTCCGAATTATATTTTTATAATGTATGGTAAATTTTACTTCGGTATTGATTTAAAATTAATTGTTTCATCTATATATTATATATAATGATGAAAATATATATAAAGGGATTTCTTTTTTTCTCCTATTACGATTGAATACATAAAATCGTTATATTTTATGCTACAAAATAAACAATTCGGAAAAGAGAGAGGAACTTTTTGTGTGGCCATATAAAGTGACTATTTAATTTAGGAAATTGATGATTCATTGAATCTATCCACATGTACATGTGTATATATATATATATTATAAAAAATATGTACGTATATATGTATATATTATATAAAAATATGTAAGTGGTGATAAAGCTACATGGTAAAAGTAGAGTACAGAAAAAATATATAATAAGTAAAAAAACAGTACATCATACAGTTTGTACAAGATGCTTAAAATATATTTAAATAAAGCGCATTGGCCCATTTACTCCTTCGAGATTGGCTCTTCGAGTCTGGAAAAAGTAGAGGTCAGAATGGAAAAAAAAGCCCTAATATATTATCTATTAATTCATATAATCAAAATAAAAACAAAACTACTTAGACAATACACATATATCTATGGATTTTATATATATACTTTACATAATTTTCCAATTTGAAATGTAATTAGGGAAACTTTGAATATATATATAATAATAATTTTATAAACATAATCAGAAAATTAGACCGTATAGAATAGAGTTAATTTTGTAAGGCTAACCCAATCAAAACAGTGAAAATACTTGCATACATACAAAAGCCGCCAGGGGTATATTCGTCAATATCGCAAGACCAGAAAAGGACAAGAAATGGCACTCCCGTAATACTCTGAAACTTCAGGGGCTATTATCCACTGACACTCTCTCATCGTCTCTCCCATCTGTTTGACAAAAAATAGTATTTTTTTATTATATTTATGGATTTATAAATAAAAAAAGTGGGATATTTTGTGGGTATTTTTAACTGTTTTATTCATAATTTAATATATCGGTTGGTAAAATTAAAATATTTAGAGCGAGAGAGAGGGTCAGTTGGGGCTGTTTTACACACAAGCGACCAACATCTTTTCCTCTTATTCACAAATCCCCTTCACCGGAGGTTCTCGCCGGCGGGGGACATCGGAGTTCGGATCTCCGGTGAGTTGAGGCGACGGTCATCAGGACTCATATAGACTCGATCTAGCCTTTTCCCGTGCTTTTCACTCTCTTCTGCGACGGTTTTGGTGGTCTTTTTGCCGTTTCCGGAACGGCCATATCGAGATGAACGCGAACGGGACGGAGAACGTCATGGCGGCGAGTCCGGAGCGCGAGTACATCAGGAGGCATCACAGGCACGAGCCTATGGAGAATCAGTCCAGCTCGACGCTTGTCAAGCACATCAAAGCTCCTGTTCATCTCGTAAGCTCTCGGTGCTCTCATCTATGTTGTTGTATATACCTTCTGTTTTCGGTTGATTTTTCTGCGTTTTAGGTCCGATTGCATAGTCAATCGATTCCATTTCGTCCTCGGGAAAGTCACGGTCTCTTTTCCTATCCATGCATCTCTTATTATTATATTAACAAACACGGTATCGAGCAAGATGATTGATGAAAAAGCGATATCTGTTGGTTCTAATGGTGTGGAGGATCGATGTATGCACCTTCAGTATCTCTATTGAATCTGTTCTCGAAGCGTTCTGCGAGTTTCAGTGGTGATTATCCGATTACTTTTACTGTTTGATTCGATTTTGGTTTGTGCATTTGTAATTAGGTGATTTCAACTGATTCAATGAATGTGGGTAATTTCCTAGGGTTTGGAGCTTTGTTACGATGTTACAATCATGAATTTATGGTTGACCTCATGAAAACTTTGCTTATCTCTTGAATAGGTATGGTCTCTTGTGAGGAGATTCGATAAGCCGCAGAAGTACAAGCCGTTCGTCAGTAGGTGTGTGGTGAAGGGAAACCTTGAAATTGGTACTGTAAGAGAAGTTGATGTGAAATCCGGGCTACCGGCTACTAAAAGCACAGAGAGGTTGGAATTTCTTGATGATAATGAGCATATCCTCAGCATCAGGATTGTCGGCGGTGACCATAGGCTCAAGGTACCCAATTCACCCTCTTTTTGGTCCGTGAAACATTTTGCATCACTCATTTCTGTTGCTTTGAGTTTGAAGTTTCATTCACAGGCTGCGAAATTCTACAGCTTTTGTTTGTCGTTTTATCCAGAAAGTTCTGCTGCTACCTTATCTAGATTTGAGTTTTAGGCTGTTTGGATTATCGGATGAGTTCCACAGTATGAAAAGGCATGAGCTTGAAAGAAGACATGAGATATTGTTGTTGAGATCTAGAATTCTAGTTTTTAGATGGGGTAAAAAGCTAAAAGCTAACACTGTTGTCAACTGTCTGTACAAAACCAGAACTATTCTTCCGTCATATCGCTTCACCCGGAGACAATAGAAGGAAGACCGGGAACACTAGTGATTGAATCATTCGTGGTGGACGTGCCGGAAGGTAATACAAAGGACGAAACTTGCTACTTCGTGGAAGCTCTGATCAAATGCAATCTTAAGTCATTGGCGGATGTCTCTGAACGTCTCGCAGTTCAGGACCGAACTGAACCGATCGACAGCGTCTGAGATATAACGGGAAAGATTGAAAAAAAAAAGAGAGAACAGATATGAATGATGATCATATCATTATTGTTGGAATGGTGATTCGCCATTGGATGAAGGGCTTTCCAAGTGGAGAAACGGACAGGGCATTTAATCACCATCCACCCATACCAACAAAAAAAAAAAAGAGTTGCCTTTTTTAACTTTCCATTTTGTCCATTTTTATTTGTAAGGCGTTTCTTCTAGAACCAAATATGATTTTGGGGGGTTTCCCTTCTTTGAGGGTAAAAGAGAAAAAAAAAAAGGCCCTCTTTCTGTCTCTCTCCGAAGGAGGGACCACCACACACCACTTGCAGGAATCTTACAATTTGATGTATATCCGGAAACAGTGACAGCTGGAGGGCCTGCTCCCTTCTTTCTTTGAGAGGAGGCTTGACTCCTGAGGTCCCACTACTAATCACTTCACCAAGTTTTAGCCTTTAGGTTTCTTCTTCCTTTTTCCTTTTCCCGCTATTTTTGTTTGGTGAGTAAGAAGAGAGGGATAGAGAGAGAGAGAAAGATAAGAGCCAATCAACCTTTTTTTTTGTTGTTGTTGTTGTAGGGAGGGGTGGGTATGTTTTACAAGAATGATGGAGAAAAGTTCCGTTCGTTTCGAGTTGGGGGTTCGGCTGTAGCCCGTGTTTCACGAGTCAGAAAAATTTTGATTCCTATTTACTTTACACGAGCCATATTTTACCTAATAAATCCAAAGAAAAAGACCCAGAAACATTAGTTGCAAAGGTCCACTCTTTATTCCTAGCTTGCATGCACTGTGTACATTCTGTAATCCCTATTGATTTTGTGTTCCGTTTTTTTTTTGTTCTGTTATGTGCTTTTTTTATGTCAACATGAAAATACGTCCCCGAGTCTTTTCTTTATTGTTTGGTTTGACTTCTGAAATAACTACACAAAGCAATGGTAACACAATGACACACCAACTAATCCGATCCCCTTTGACATTGTGTGTTTCTTTCGGCACTAGTGTCAGAAAGGAGGCATATGAAGTGTGGACGTGGGGGAAGGGCCAACAAAATAATGAGGTGGAAATACATTAAACACCGCATTGTGTGTGTGAATAATAATAATAATCGTAAGAGAGGCTTTGAGGAGGAGAGGTTTTTTTTTTCTCTGTACAAACTTTTTAAGACATGGAAGCCCCTCTTTTCACCACTGGACAAGGTATCTATCTTGTCTTTTTGAAAAGAAAAAAAAATCTATGAAAACTCACTCCTATCTCCCTTTTCCCCCCTTCTTACTACTGCTACTACTACACTTGCTTCTTACGCCAATACCAAGTCTCCTTGTTCCTGTTGTTGCTCCGAAAATTCTTCCCCTTCACGCTGCGGGAGCAGAATACGCTTGATTTCCTCCGCGGTTAGCGTCTCGTACTCCAGAAGTGCGTTTGCTAGCATGTGTAGTTGCTTCTCGTGCTGAAAAAAAGTTTTTTTTGTCAGGAGTCTTGGAAACATCTGGTTCATATTGTTACACGACCAGGAAAAAAAGATACGGTGGGTGTGAGAGTTCGGGTACGAACCCTTTTCAACAGAGATTTGACGCGATCATATGCTTCTCGAAGGAGTTTCACTACCTGCTCAGATCCACCCGTGGAAATTTGTCAGTTCTAAGTGTCCATGGCAGAGAAATGGCAAAGGAGAGTGTGAACAGAGAGAGAGAGAGGAAGGAAAGGAAGAGACTTTGCAAGATTGAAAAGGAGCTGACCTCGGCATCAATGCGTGATTGCATCTCTGAGCTTGGTCTTTCTTTGATATGAACTGGTCCTATTGCCTCGCTCATCCCACAACTCGACACCTTTTTTTACACAATCCACAAAATCATTCTTTACCCATTACGGAATAACTTATTGGGCAAACGTCCCAAACATATTTCCTACTTTTTAATATAAACCAGATGAATCCGGTTGAGCATATTATTCTATCGCAGTGAGATATTTACCATGTATTGAGCGAGCTCGGTGGCCTGGGAGAGATCGCTGCTAGCTCCAGTGGTTACATGGTCCTGACCGAAGATGAGCTCCTCTGCCACTCTTCCTCCCATACAAACATCAAGACGTGCTAATAGCTGCTTCTTGCTTACCGACGTTTCATCCGTTGATGGAAGCTGTGTCACCATTCCCAACGCTGATCCACGTGGCATTATTGTCGCCTTGTGTATCGGATGCGCTCCTTCCGTGTTGAACGCCACTATCGCATGACCGCTTTCATGGTATGCCGTGAGCTGAAAAGGTTACACATCAAGTTATGTCAAGCTTCCGAGCATATAATCCCAAATCCCGCTAGATTATGAAATCGCAAAAGGACACACCTTTTTAGACTCTTCTGATATGAACATTGTTTTTCTCTCCGTACCCATAACTATCCGATCTTTGGCGAATTCCAACTGCACAGAAGTCAACTTCTCGGCCCCTTCAACAGCAGCTTTTATGGCAGCAATATTTACCAAGTTTGCGAGATCTGGATATCAATAGATAGTATTCGAGGAAAACGCGGGGTGAATCTTCATAGATTAAAAGTTTTGTGAACTCTATGTATACCAAAAAAAAAAGAAAGAAGAGGACTTGTTTAAAATGAAAAAGGATTATAGGCACCACCCACCAGCACCATTGAAACCCGGAGTCCCACGGGCAATAGCTTTAACATCAACATCGTCAGCCAAAGGTTTGTCTTGGAGGTAGAGTTCCAAAATCTCTTGGCAGCGGCTGCACCCATCAACCTGGGAAAGGAATTTGCTTTTTTCAACTGGAACAATAACAAAATGTAGAAACAATAAAAAATTCACCTATGCAAGAGAATCAGCGCTTCTGAATCTCCCTGCTAAACTTTAAACTATAATAAAAATGCTACTTTTAACCAAACAGCACACGAAGCATACCACACTACGCCAACCGCAACAGTGAATAAGATTGTAGAGACAAGCTCTTGCGTGAATCTCGATTTGTTGGAAACTTTAGGATCAACCTTGCAAACAAAAGGGGCCATATTAAAAAAGCACGGTACCATTTTAAATTTACAGAAGCCCAGACTCAGTATTTCTCTTCTGATGGGACACTAGCTAAGATCCTTACCATGACAACGTGCAATGGTTGTTTTTCGGATATACCGGGGTTTAGAAATGATTCGTCCAAGTTGCCAGATGCACGCTGCCTTAGCTCTTGCAGCTACACATAAACCATCAGTGATTAACAGAAAACAGAAAACAAACTAAACACCGCCAAGAACAAAGACAGCATAAACATATTTTAGCGTGAAGAGATGGATCTCGTGAAAGAGTTTTACAGCAACATAGCAACAAACTTATCCAAGTTATTCTTGCCTGATCAGATGGAAATGGAAACGAGATTCATGCTGGATATGTAAAATTCGATACAGCAGGAAACATAAAATCCAATACAAATTTCCAGACTAACGGTTAGATCCAACACAGGGTGTTTGTTTACAACTACAAGCAGATAGGACAGTTCTGATACCACTTCTTCATTTTCTAACAATTAAAAGGAAATCATAGCTTTGAGACCAGTGGAATACAACCCCGCAGACACACTTTAAGGAGTTTAGAAACTTACATGACGGTCAAATCTACCAGGCCTTGTCAAAGCTGGATCAAGAATATCTGGCAAATTTGTCGCGGCCATCACTATTATTCCCTGCATAAATGAATTTACTATTAGGGGAAGATGCAGATACGAATCATGAAATCTTACTATCCCTCATCAAGAAGTACCTCATTCTGTTCAAAACCATCCATTTCAACAAGTAATTGATGTAATGTCTTCTTAGTATGGCCTTCCCACTGTTTCCTCGTGGACCCAACAGCATCGATCTCATCAATGAAAACAATACAAGGTGCCTGTGACACAACCATCAACATCTCAGATTGCATTCATGACATTTTAATTATGCCTACCGTCTTTCCAACCTAACAGGCCAATTCCTTCTCTCTTTTCGAGTGATGTGAAGACAGACCTTTTTCTTAGCTGCCTGAAACAAGGATCTTACACGCCGAGCTCCAACCCCAACAAACCTGTCAACAAACAAAAGAAAGCGTGATTACCATTTTAATAATCAAATTTTAATCAAGGAGCTCCTAGATGGTAATACAAAGATAATGGTCAGTCAAGTTGCTGAAGACAGAAATAAAAAAGACAACTAGAAGAAACGCCTCACATCTCTTCAAATTCAGATCCAGCCCTGTAGAAGAAAGGTACCCCAGCTTCTCCAGCAATTGCCTACAAAATAACAAAAACATGTCAATTCGTGGCACTCTACGAATACGATCAGTAAGCCTAATCAGAAAAGGAAAATGAAAAGCCGTTCGCAAGTGGAATGTGGCAGAAATTGATACCCACACATGAAATAATTTATTCACGAAGATTAACTCTTGATTCCCATCTCATTCAACAAAAGACAACTAGTGGATATGCCAAAACTTACTTTAGCCAGCAAAGTCTTTCCCGTACCAGGTGCACCTGTTAGAAGAATTCCCTGGAAGCATATATTTGTTAAGAGACTTATCAAGTTAAAAACGGATGTAACTACAGATAGATTGTAGCTTTGACATGGCAAAACCAAAGACAATAAGATGTGTGGTAGAGAAGGTGCAATACGAAGAAAAAACAACTCTCATGCAAACCTTTGGCAACTTCCCTCCAAGACGGGTAAACTTTGATGGGTTTTTCAGATATTCTACCACCTCCTCAAGTTCTTGTTTCGCATCATCACAGCCCTTTACATCCTTAAACGTTTTGACATTCTGCGGCAAACAAACTCATCAAGAAATGCCACAACGAGGCAGCTCTACAAATTCAATTGTATCAAAGCCAATCTCAACTGACTATAGCTAAAAAGCCTTCGACTGGTATCCAAACAAACAATAGTTAAGTCATGCAATCAGGATGCTACCAATTACCAAACAAGTCACCTGCCACCAACTAGGCAATTTCCCATAGTTTTTTTTATAGACCTTTACGACTGGACTCAAGCTATGTGTTTCTTGGCAGCCTTACTTCAACTACTTTAGGCTTCTTGTGAATAGTTACTGAACATTTAGAACATCAAATTTCTACCTTCTCTGGCATTATTTCTTTGTTCAACTCTTTTGGAGCATATGAAGAACTTGAACCAACACCTGATGTTCCGATTCCTCCCAGGCTTCCAATGTACTTTTGCAGAGCGGCTGCACCCATCAACCTGGGAAAGGAATTTGCTTTTTTCAACTGGAACAATAACAAAATGTAGAAACAATAAAAAATTCACCTATGCAAGAGAATCAGCGCTTCTGAATCTCCCTGCTAAACTTTAAACTATAATAAAAATGCTACTTTTAACCAAACAGCACACGAAGCATACCACACTACGCCAACCGCAACAGTGAATAAGATTGTAGAGACAAGCTCTTGCGTGAATCTCGATTTGTTGGAAACTTTAGGATCAACCTTGCAAACAAAAGGGGCCATATTAAAAAAGCACGGTACCATTTTAAATTTACAGAAGCCCAGACTCAGTATTTCTCTTCTGATGGGACACTAGCTAAGATCCTTACCATGACAACGTGCAATGGTTGTTTTTCGGATATACCGGGGTTTAGAAATGATTCGTCCAAGTTGCCAGATGCACGCTGCCTTAGCTCTTGCAGCTACACATAAACCATCAGTGATTAACAGAAAACAGAAAACAAACTAAACACCGCCAAGAACAAAGACAGCATAAACATATTTTAGCGTGAAGAGATGGATCTCGTGAGCAGAAACAATGAATAGAGGATAGATAACAGTAATACGTAATTATATCATACAGAGATATGGTCAACCTTTCAAGACATAGAACTAATAAGACACAAGAAATAAGACATTCTAAAAATAGCCATGCTCAAGCAGTTAGCCTTTCTCGAATTCTTAATTCAGGGGGAAAAAACGGAGCAGAAAGTCAAGATACCAATGTAGGAAGACTAGACTGTTTTCCGGATTGTTCATCAGGAAGATATTCTGAAATGGCATTCGTAATGACAAGAGCTCGAAGATATTCAGCGACGCCTCTGCTGTCCACTGCGTGTTCCCTTTGCTCAAACCGTTTGATAGCGGCCTCAGGGCTTGAAGAAACAAGGCACCATTCAACAACAATCAAATCAGAACAACGGATTCCACTACAACATCGGAGAAATTGAAGTGTGAAAATTTCTACAATGCGAATTCTGGGTTTACCTGTGCTTGTTGAGCTCTGCCAAGAGAGCGCTCTGCAACGCCGCGTCCTTGGGGTTGGAATCAGCCTCCGCGATGAGTTTCTCGAGCCGCTTCTCCTGCCGCGAAAATGGCCACCAGCTCAGCCACTCCCACTCCATCACCTTCTCCACAGCTCTCTTTATCGCAGCCCAGATCCCCATGAGAAGCACCACCACCGGAAATTTGCTCTTGCGCTCGTCTTTATCCTCCGCTGTTGCTCCTCGGCCTTCGCTCTCCGCCGCAAATCCACCGTCGCTCTCCCCCTCTCCGTTATCAATTTCTAATCCATCAGGCTCCGGCACCTCGGCAGCAGAAACTGAGCCCGTCGTCTCGGCCAAATCCGAAACCTCGCCGTTACAATCACCATCTCGAGAGTCGGGATCCTTGACAGGAGAATCGGAATCGAAAGCGACATTGTCAGGGTGCAAAGTGCAAGGAAGGGGAGGAAATCGGGACTTGAGAAGAATAGAAGAGAAACGGTAAAAGCGGGAGAGAGATGGAGGGCTAAAGCAGAGAGAAGAGGAAGAGGGGAGAGAGAAGAGGGAAGGGTGACGCTTGGAGGAAGGAGAAGGGGAGAAATGGAAGGAAGGAGAAGGGCGAAAGAGAAGAGAAGCTTGGAGGGTAGCACCAGACATTGGGTATGGATACTGTGTAGTCTCCTTAGGGTTTTCGCAACGTTATCGTCGTCTTCTTCACTTCTTCTTCTTCTGCTCTCTCTCCCTCTACGCAGAAGAGAGATGAGAGCTGTTATGAACCACAAATACTTCAATTATGTTTTCGAGTCTTAATAGAGATCGAGAGTGAGAAGGAGACCTTATCTCCTCTATCTATCAAAATGTTTAGATAGAGTGTCGGCCTTTTTGGATTTTTTTGGCGTTTGCTTCAACCTTTCAAAATCATATATCACAAATAATAATATATGGCCACTTCAATTTAAAGGGAAATGTAACAGTCAATAGGGTTACATGCCAAAAGCATATATATATATTAGCATATTAAGGTGAATATATCTGCTTGAATTTTCAGACACAAAGCTGTTTGTGTTTCAAAAAAAAAAAAAGAGTACCAAATGGTTAAGACAAATTTACTAAAAACCAAGAAGAGAGACATCTTCTCATGGGACCAACCAAGCAATGGTCTCATTGCATCTGACCAGTACCAGAGCCAGTGCCATAAGATGGCATCGGACCGGGCCCTGAGTGCTGCTGCTGCTGCGGCATCATGGACCCTGGTGCGGGACCCATGTAAGGATAATGACCTCCTCCCATGGCCATAGGCATGGACTGCCCTGGTGAGACCCACTGGGCGCCGCTGCTGTAGGGGTGAGAGCTTGGATGCATCCCGGGTTGTTGGGCCGGGATAGGCACGGCTGGGTTGGGTATGGTGTAGTCTCTGCTTCTGTCGTTGTTTACCTGCAAAAAAACAGAGACTTGAGGATGTCAACAACGTCTTTGCGAGGCGAGTCCAGATGAATAATACCGTTTTGAGTTGAAAACGGGTTTTACTTTTATGCTGAGATCGGTGTGGCGAGAATAAGTGATGTGGAGCTTGCAGAATCCACCGTCGTAAATGCAGTGTCCCTCCAACGCTTCCTTCGCCACAACCGCAGTTTGGACATCTGAAAATACACAAAAAAATATTCAACAAAAAACTGTCAGAATTAGATCTCATACCAAAAACCTCATAATATGAAGAATCCACCAGCCCGAGTCATCCAATGAACATAAAATAACACGGGAATTGTAGACAATGAGGGGGCGGGAACATGCACCTGGGTATTGAATTAGAGCCTGGAGACCACCGTTCTTGTCAAACATGGCAATCTTTTGAACAAGTCCAAAGGCCGAGAAAACCTACTCAGTGAAGATATGAAGGCGGAAGTTAATCAATATGTTTGAACCGGTGGATAGAAAAGAATCAACTATCCATTCATAGTGGCTATAACATAACGTACCATGTGCAAAACATCCAAAGTCACTGCATACTGCATGTTCTCGATAGATGCTAGAAGAACGTTACTTTCAGGTTCTAACTTCCTTCCATCCACACCCATTGTCACCTGGCAGGGTTTAACAAAATAATCTTTTAGTCATTACAGTAATAAGAGACAGAGATCCTACAGTACAAACTACAACAGAACTTCAGCCAATAGTGTGAAAAAATACAACAATTCGCTACTCCAGTAAGAGATACGAAGAAATCAGATATAATGCAGTGGATAATCTAATGCGGAAATGAATGATTAAAAGAAGCTAGAGAAACAATAAAGTAGAGAATCGACATTGATGCAATTTGCCAACAGAACAGAACACCAATATCAAGTTTCTAATTCTTACCTGGCCAGTACTATCAATGGCTGATGGTGCAACTGGGAGGTAAGGGTTAGTATAGTCCCTGCACAGAAGAAGGAGAACATTTGGAATCAATTTATGATCGGAAATACCAACTGAAAAAGAACATTCTTCAACAAGTGATGTGTAAGAACACTATAGTTGGAAATGCAATCAAGATACCTGCTTCGATGGCTCTGGAATTTGACAGTTAAATCTGTATGAGCAGAATAAGTAATCTTAAGACTGCATGGCTCCACATGCTCAGGGAGTAAATACCTGATACACAGAAAGAGCAGTCGGTCAATAGCTATGCCTAACATATAGGACATAACATGAATAAAAACCTAGGATGTGCATGACAAAGCCAGCAAATCAAAACATTAACAATCCCCAACATGAATCTAGCGTCTAATTTGTATTCCCCATTTCCCTTATCGCTTGGCCTAGATTTAAGTTTTATATCAATTGATAAAACATTACTGTCTAATCTAGAACTACACAATCCTTCCAGTCGGACCAAATGCCGCGTCAAACATTTAATACAACATCACCTAGGAATGCTTCTTCCGTCAAGAGCATTCTTCGCAGAAGTAGCAGTCTCCACATCAGAGAATTGCACCAGCGCCTAAAAGCAATGCAAACAAAAAGGGTATCAGAGCAAGCACTGGAAAAATCAAAATACATCCATGCAATCATAGGATCAGTAACATACTTGGTATCCAGCAGTCTTCTCAAAAGTGGTAATTTTGTGGACAAACCCAAAAGCCGAGAATACCTGCATCACAGACCGGCTTTAATCTTGTGGACAAACCCAGGAGTAATAATTAGCACTCGGTGCAATAACACAAAGACCATATTAGCAAAAACATATGTGGTACAGAAACTCACGTAAAATTATAAAGGTTAGGCTATCAATAGATACCAACCAAACATAAGGGAAAAAATAAGAACGAGACCAACTTAAAGCCTCAGGAAGACACAAGAATTGTCTTGGTACATATTAACCAAGAATCCAAGATGCTTATAAAAACTCAGAATTGTTCTGAATAGGTTAGCAGATTGATGAACTCCAGATCGAATTCTTAGAGCAGAGTTGAAGAAATTTCGCCTGAACTTTATATTACCATAGCAGTGCAAATATAGCTGCACATATTAGATTAAATCAACATAATAACTAGACCTATTTAGACCATGTACGAGAGCCTAAAGGATTTGATAAAAGGGAAGCGTGAGGTAGAGTAGGGAAGAAAGAGGCAGTGTTAGGGAAAGGAGAAAGGAAACAAACACACATGCGATCTTTCTCCTAACGCATTAGGCTGCCACTGAAGATATTGCCTTGACATGGCCCTGCTGATCCATTTACATTCATGTCAAAAGAAAGCTTTCAGAAGCACGACAAACTACAACCTAGTTATCAGAATCTCACTGGGACATTGTTCAGCGATGTGTTTACCTCTTCTAGACAAACCAAAAAGGTATATGGTGTACTTACCAGATGCAAAACATCGATGCTGACAATGCGAGCATCTTGACCCTCAATTGTCACCAACAGAACATTTCCAGCAGCATCTGCTGTCGTTTTGTTATTCACTATTTCTTGCCTGTTGGAGTACTGGAGGTAGACGGTTTTACCTCGAACTTGAGCAGGCTCCAACGAAGAAGCGTAGTATGAAATCATTGCTATTGCTTGATTTAAATCCGCCTGAAAGAATTTACAAATAACCAAAGGTAACCACGATTAGCACTCATCCTCTGGGTAGCCAAAAAAATATTTCATTTAGAAGAGTTCCACTTACAAACTCAATGAAAGCCTGATTTCGGTTGGCCCCAACATTGCACTTTGTATTCACAACCTTACCAAAGGGCTTCCCAAGTTCAATCAGCTCCTCTTCGGTGCATTCCCATGGCAAATTTCTCAAATGAAGAACCTTAGTAGGGGGTTGTGTGTAACGGAACTGTGGTTGGCTGGAAACAGAAGACATAGTGTGCTAACAAGCCTGAACTAGTAAAGAACAAAAACAAAAATTAGGACATCCTCGAACAACCGTTTTCTCATTGAACCGCGGAAAAACCCATCATCCTGAATGCAACTGGACACCACAAGGTACTGATCCAAACGAGTTAAAGTCCAGATCCTAACACAAACGCGCAATTGAAACCACCAAGACACCTACAGCCTGGAGATACGAACATATATACACTTCCCAAGCACCTTCGAGCCAAATTTCGACGAAGAGCTACGATTTCAACATAAAATTCCGCAGGAATCTTCGATTCAACAGAAATTTCGAGATTTTTTTAAAAGGAAGAATCATAAATAAAACAACAACACGTAGCAGATCATAGAGCATCAACATCGAATCGGATAAGTCAAACAATTCCCATATAACAAACTAACAGCGATACTTCCATGATACAGAAATTTCAACGCAAAAAAAAAGGAAGAAGAAGAAGAAGAAGGAAGAATCGAGAAATCATATAACCTGAGGAAATCCTTTGAGCAAAATTCTACAATTCGCAGATACGCCTCGAGATTTAGGGTTTGGCGAAAAGAACAGAGGAACGATGATATATGGAATGAATTAAAGCGTTGAAACCAATACGACGTCGTTTAGGAAGCGTCTTGTTTAATGAACCAACTACTAATGGGCCATTTGTAAGCAAATAAGACTTTGGGCTAAGGCCCATTATCCCTTTTCCAGTTTCATACACACCATCTTCAAAAAGAACAGAAGTATTTCCAATCAAATCCACATTAAATTTAAACAATACACTTTTCCAATAATCTCACAACATACATTCTGATTTTTCATGACACACACACATGACATATATATATATATATATGAAAAAGCTTTTTTTTTTAGAGAGAGAAAACTCTCTCATTTCTCTCTACCCCTTCGAACCCTAGCGCACCCAATTGGGCGGCCGCCGGCCGGCCACCCCTCCCTGTCAATATGCCCCCAAGACTGAGATCAAACTCTGCGCCTCCATCCCCTGGTATCTTAGGGTCTCGACCTTCTACCTCTCTTCCCCCACCCTCCTCCATCTCAGAAATCTCCCAGCAAAATCCAACCACTAAAGTTCCGACCAGTTCAAGCCGCATTATATCAAAAATACCCTTAAAATCCTACTTCTACTTCAACACCTACCCTTGTGACTATGTGACCAATGTGACCGAAATATAGTATGGTCACATATTGATCTCATTGTTCATAACGTTAAATTTATGATGTTTTAATCAAATGATTAGTAAGATATACAAGGTATGAACATAATGAATTAGTGTGATCACCATAAATTTAACGTTATAATCGATAAAAATCAAAATGTGACCATACTATATTTCGGTCACATTGGTCACATGTGACCAGGGTAGGTCTTGAAGTAGAAGTAGCATTTTAAGGGTATTTTTGATAATGCCCCAGTTCAAGCTATGAACAGGACTTTCCGGCTCTTCCATCTCCCTCTCCTGTAGCACCTCCCTCACTCAGTTTGGCGCAGCCTCTGCATTCCCCCCCCCATCTATTCCCCAAGTCCCAACCCTAGAGGTTAGAGAACATGTCCCCCCTCCATCAGCTACTCTGGAGAATCCCGACAGCTGGAGCCGTCGTCTTCTAAACTCCTTGAGACCTCTCAAGAGGACAGGTACGCCGACCATTCACTCCTTAGGGGCCCCCCTGATTTCGATTACAGCAGAGACTCTCGAATCCTCAGCTTCGGAATGGGCCGATTTTGTCATCGGCCAATTTTACGGAATCCCGCCGGCTATGGGACGTGTTATCGGTATTACCAATGCTCTCTGGTCAAAGGCAGGTCCTCGGGTTGGGGTTTTTGATATTGGCAACGGAACGTTTCTGTTCAGGATGCCCAATCGCGCAACCAAGGAAGTTGTGTTGAGCCGTAGGTTTTGGCATATCGCTTCTTGTCCAATGTATGTATCCCCTTGGAACCCTTATCACATGCCTGAGAAACCAGTTCTGACATCTATGGCCTGTTGGGTCTCCTTCCGCCGAATGCCGCACCAAATGTTCAGTTCGGAATGTCTCAGTCGAATTGCTACTAGCATTGGTGACCCACTGTACTCTGATCGGGCAACGATGATGAAGGAAAATCTCTCTATGGCCAGAGTCTATATCAACGTCAATCTACGGGTTACTCCTCCGAAGAGTATTGTTGTAAGTCTGCCTAATGGTCAGGAGCATGAGATTGAGGTAGCCTATGTTTGGCTTCCTCCGCGATGCTCTCACTGCTCGGAGATTGGTCATAGCCTCAGTCGTTGCCCGTTTCGTTCTCCGTCTGATACCCAGGTCGAGAACCAGTCCGCCAGTGGTGTAGATCCTCCTGTTGAGGCCCATCCCAAGGCTGTTCTTGGAAATGCCGCTGCACCTGTACCTGACCAGAGCCTGACTAGTGAGCCCCCTATACTCACTGAGGAACCATTGTTGCAGGATGCGCCTAGCTCCCCTCCTTCTAATGCAAGAAAAGCAGTCCAGACCTCCTCATCTCCACAAGAGGCTAGTGAATCACATATGCACGAGGTGGAATTACACAACCCCCCACTACCTCCCGTTCAGGAAATGCCAGAGAACCTGAATTCCACACAACCCACTCTCTTGCTAGAACCCAACCTTTTAACCACTGAAACCAAAAGCCAACATACACCAAGCCCGAGCAAAACTAAGCCTTCCAAACAAGCCAGTCAGTCCAATTACAAGACTAAAGGAGAGGGGCGTGGTCGTAAGGCCACGAGGAGGTCATAAACTCAGCACGGGATCCCCATGAATTTTTTTGCGTGGAACACAAGAGGGTTGAATGCCCAAACTAAGAGATTTTTGATACGGAAGTGGATTTTGGAGCATAAACCTTTTTTGGGCGGTCTTTTGGAAACACACATCAAAGAATCTAATGAGGCTCGGATCAAGAGTGCGATACCAGCAAATTGGAGACATTTTGTTTATTTTCAACCCGGAGGAACATCAAGAATTTGGTTGGTGTGGGAGCCAACAACCTCAGTACTTGTCTACCATAAAACGAAGCAGTCCATTACATGTGGAATCCGACATGGTGATACAGGGATATCTCTTACGGTGACTTTTGTATATGGTTCCAACATTGCTGCGGAGAGGAAAACACTATGGCAAGACCTCGCCTTATTAGCCAACTATCCTACCTTAGCATCTTCTCCTTGGGTGGTTTTGGGGGACTTTAATCAAATCTTAGATCCCTCAGACAGATTTGATGAGTTCCTACCGCAAAATTGCCAGCAAAGCATGGATGAGTTTCGGAACTGTGTTGAAGAAATTGGAATCTCAGACATCTCTTACCGGGGTATGAGGTTTACTTGGTGCAACAGTCAAGCAGCGAACCCTTTATCTGTTAAACTTGATAGAGCAATGTGCAATGATGTATGGAAAGAGGAATTTCAGTCTGCATATGCTGAATTCTGCCCCCAAGGCCCTTCTGACCACGCTCCCTGCATTAATTGTTCACATTCCATCAGGTGTTGCTCAGGTTCGTAGACCGTTTAAATTCTTTCATCACTTATCCTTGGCCCCTGCTTTTCACCAGATCGTGCAGGCTGAGTGAAACCGGGAGACGATCGTCGGGACAGCTCAATACCGACTATGTAAACTGTTGAAAGCTCTCAAACAGCCCCTCAGAAAGCTGAACGTAACTCAATTCTCGAATATATCTCGAAGGGTGACAGAAGCATTAAGGGTCTTGGAAGGATCGCAGGAGAGAAACCTTAGTAATCCCAGTGAGTAGATAACAGAGGAACATGCCCTGAGACAAAAGTTTCTGACCCTGGCTGCCGCGGAGGAGAAATTTTTCCGTCAGAAATCACGGATATGCTGGCTAACAAAAGGGGATCGTAATACTTCGTACTACCATAAGCAGGAGACAGTCAGAGTCAACAGGAACCATATCCATTTCCTAATGGATAACCAAGGGGAGAAATTAACCGGAAGGCATCAGATCCGTGAGCATATAATTAGTTTCTACACGGACCTCCTAGGGGCAAAGGACGAAAGTATTGTACAGCCGTCGATTCAATGGATTCAGGAGCTTATTCCCTTCAGATGCCAACCTGAAATACACGCGGAGATGACTAGAATTCCAACAGATGAGGAAATCGAATACACTCTCTTCTCTTTTCCGGACAATAAAGCCCCGGGACCGGATGGATATCACTACAAAAAAATCAGCAAATTCCAACGAATTTTCCAACGGATTTATCCGTTGGAAATTTTTCAACGGATTTTCAACGGTTTTCAACGGCATTTCAACGGTGATTTCCGTTAAAAATCCGTTGAATATTTCCAACGGATATCCGTTGGAATCGCCCGTTGGAAATTTTTAACGGAATTTTTAACGTATTCAATTGAAAAAATTGGGTTGAAATTTTCCAACGGTATTTCCAACGGATATCCGTTGGAATTTTTTTTGGAAATTTTAAAAAAAAATTCCAACTGAATTCCAACGGATGTCGGTTGGAATTTTTTTTGGAAATTTAAAAAAAAAATTCCAACGGAATTCCAACGGATGTCGGTTGGAAATTTTTTTGGAGATTTTAAAAAAAAATTCCAACGGAATTCCAACGGATGTCGGTTGGAAATTTTTTTGGAGATTTAAAAAAAAAATTCCAACGAATTCCAACGGATAACGGTTAGAAATTTGGATTTTAATTGAAATATATATATATATATATATATATAAATATTTTGTGTATATACATACATATATATATATATATCGATATATATATATATAT